TTTCCATTTGGTACAGATATAATGGGAGGCTGATCGATGCCCGGGTGCGATCAAGGGATGGCTCCCTATTGGTCAACCACGTTATGTATGCCGATGATTTGGTAATAGCTGCTCATTCAGAGGAGGAGTTGGAGACACTGCTGCTGAGACTGGAGCGTGCCACTAAGAGGTGGGGCCTTACCATCAGCCCCACCAAAACTAAGCACCTGCCTGGGTATTTTGTACCATCGGACACTCCACCCCCACAACTCCCAATCGGTGATCGGGCAGTTGTGGAGAGAGTGGAGAGTTTCCCATACCTGGGCAGTGTGCATATGACCGGCTCCAGTTTAACAGCAGAGGTCTCACTCCGAATCAGCCGAGCGCCAATATATTTTCATCGGTTGCATAACGCTGTGTGGAAGCTACCTGGTCTGTCGCTCTGCACGAAGCTTCAAGTCTTCTCGGCCACAGTCATTCCCTCCCTTCTCTACGCTTGTGAAACGTGGACCCCCTGGTGGAGCATCTTCACCGGTTGGAAACATTTAGGCTGGCCTGACTACGATCCATCCTGGGTTTAACCAGGCTGGATTGTGTGAGGAGCTCACAAATCCTTGAAAGATCGGGGCAAAGTCCCATCGGTGAGCTCCTCCGGCAGGCAAGGCTGCGTTGGCTGGGTCATGTAGCCCGCATGCCCAGCCACCGCATGCCTAAACAGCTTTTGTTCGGCCGGATTGAGGGGGCTAAACGGGCGCGGCATGGGCTAGAAAAGAGATGGAGTGATGTGGTACAGGAGGACATGGAGCTGAGTGGACTTGCCGATGACTGGTACCAGCGGTGTCAAGATCGGCCTCTGTGGAGGAGGCTCGTGAAGGACGCTACTGGGCAGTTGGAAGCAGTCGCCCTCCAACAACAATGGAGGGCGGAGGAGCGACGCTCACAACAATGAGCGGAGCGCCGGGTGGCTAAAGCACAGCAAGTTGGTACAGTAGTGGGCACAGGTGGTGCATTAGCCAGTCATCTTGGTCATCTCGGTCAGTCGACCCGTGGCCCCTGGGTCTGCCCCGTGACCTCCTGCCAGCAGGCGTTCGACACTTCACGTGGCCTCAAGGTGCACTTGGTCTGGCACAAGCGTCGTGGTGACGTCACCGCCACTTAGTGGCAAATGGCGCTTGTTGTTGTTGTTGTGTTACTGTGTGTTGTTCTCACCTGCCGGTGACAAACTGCAGCAGTAGCACCCGCTCCTCCTGTGAGAGCTCCTGCACCACCTCCCAGAACCACTACATCACCACCATCACACACCATCACACCAACATCACACACCCATTACCATCACCACCATCAACACCATCACACACCACCACCATCACCACCATCACACACCATCACACACCCATTACCATCACCACCACCATCACCACCATCACACACCATCACCACCATCACACACCATCACACACCCATTACCATCACCACCACCATCACACACCATCACCACCATCACACACCATCACACACCCATTACCATCACCGCCACCATCACCACCATCACACACCATCACCACCATCACACACCATCACACACCACTACATCACCACCATCACCACCATCACACACCATCACACACCCATTACCATCACCACCATCAACACCATCACACATCACCACCATCACCACCATCACACACCATCACACACCCATTACCATGATGGTGGTGATGGTGTGTGGTGGTGTGTGATGGTGTTAATGGTGGTGATGGTAATGGGTGTGTGATGGTGTTGATGGTGGTGATGGAAATGGGTGTGTGATGGTGTTGATGGTGGTGATGGTAATGGGTGTGTGATGGTGTGTGATGGTGGTGATGGTGGTGATGTAGTGGTGTATGATGGTGTGTGATGGTGGTGATGGTGTGTGATGGTGGTGGTGATGGTAATGGGTGTGTGATGGTGTGTGATGGTGGTGATGGTGTGTGATGGTGGTGATGGTGGTGGTGGTGCACCATCACACACCCATTTCCATCACCACCATCAACACCATCACACACCCATTACCATCACCACCATCAACACCATCACACACCACCACCATCACCACCGTCACACACCATCACCACCGTCACACACCATCACACACCATCACCACCTTCACACACCACCACTATCACCACCTGCACACACCACCACCACCATCACCACCGTCACACACCATCACACCCCATTACTATCACACATCATCACCATCACACACCATCAGACACCAGCACACATCACCACCATCACACACTATATCATATACGCTGGGCTTGTATCTGCTCGCGTACTTTTGTCTCCGTGTCTCCGTATCCACGTATCCCCGTGTATCTGGGTACCCATGTCCCCTTGTCCCCGTGTCTCCGTGTCTCCATGCCTCCGTGTCCCCATGTCCTCTTGTCTCCTTGTCTCCGTGTCTCCATGCCTCCATGTCCCTGCGTTTCTATGTTCCCATGTCCCCGTGTCCCCATGTCCCCTTGTCTCAGTGTCTCCGTGTGTCCGTGTCTCCATGCCTCCGTATCCCCGTGTCTCTGTGTGTCCGTGTCTCTGTGTCTCCGTGTCCCCGTGTCCCCTTGTCCCCTTGTCTCAGTGTCTCCATGCCTCAGTGTCCCCATGTTCCCTTGTCCCCTTGTCTCCGTGTCTCCGTGTCTCCATGCCTCCATGTCCCTGCGTTTCTATGTTCCCATGTCCCCGTGTCCCCTTGTCCCCTTGTCTCAGTGTCTCCGTGTTCCCATGTTCCCCTGTCCCCATGTCCCCCTGTTTCAGTGTCTCCGTGTGTCTCAGTGTCTCCGTGTCCCCGTGTCCCCATGTCCCCGTGTCCCCGTGTCCCTGTGCCCCCATGTACCTGGATCACGGGGGCGCTGGGCTCATATCCGCTCCCGTACTCCGTGTTTCGCTCCCAATCCTCGACGTCGATCTCCGGCATCCCGGACAGCAGCAGCTCCTACACGTGGACACGGGGACACGGGGACACGGAGACACGGAGACAGAGGAATATGGGGACACAGGAACAGAACACGGAGGACACGTAGACAGAAGGTCGTGGAGACAGAAGGACGACATGGCGACAGGACACGTGGAGACACGGGGACACGGAAACATATCAGACATCGTAGGCTCAGGCTGCCAAGTGGCCAGCGGATGACAGCACAGCAATGGATTCTTAAATCCTTCTGCGTGGAGCTTGGAGCTTCAACCCCCCCCCCCCCCCCCTCGTACACAACAGCAGCACGGTGCTGGGTTCTCTCCGGGCTCTGGTCGCCACTCCCGGCGACCCACGTCCCATCGCAGACAACGATCTGCAGGCGGTGGGGCGTGCGGGTGGGGGGGAGGGGAGTAGGGGGCGCCCCCCAAGGCACACCCCCCCCCCCTCCCCCCGCGCTGCCTCGGCCGGCCGTTGTGAGGTGGGGGGGGGGCCCACACCTCCCCACACCCCCCACCCCCCACACCCCCCACACCCCCCACCCCCCACACCTCCCCACACCCTCCACCCCCCACACCGCCACCCCTGCGCCATCGCTCCACGCTGAACGCCGCCATCAGCAGTTGTGAGGATCCAATCAGCGAGCTGCTCATTACAGGGGCGGGGGGTGGGGTGGTGGGGGGCTCGGGGGGGTGGGTGGGGGGGTGGGGGGGATGGGGGGGCGGAGTTGGTGGAGGGGGCGGTGGGGGTAACGGCACGGGGGGGGGGGGCTCGCGACGGGACGCCGCACGGTTGGATGCATGGGCCGCACCGCCCGTGCCACTCTCACCACTCGCTCACCACTCGCTCACCACGCAACTCACCACGCTCCCGCGTGCACTCGCCACGCGCTCATCACACGACTCACAGCTTTTATTTATTTTTCGCTCAGTTGAGCGGCCAGCAATGAACAGCACCGGTAGCAGAGGTGTAGAGGCAGGGGGTGCACAGCGGCCGTGTTCAATTGAGCGAGGTGGCCGTGAGAGTTCGGGGGGTGGAGAGACGAGGATGGGGGGAAGGTCCAGAATGGAGCTGGGCAAGGGAAGAAGCAGAAAGGGAAGTGAGGTGACCTGCAGTGTGGTGAGTGAGTGGGTGGGTGAGTGGGTGGGTGAGTGAGTGAGTGAGTGGGTGGGTGGGTGGGTGAGTGAGTGGGTGAGTGAGTGGGTGAGTGAGAGAATGAACGTGTTGTTGTGAGCTACAGCGTGGAGGTTGGTGATGGATGACATGAAACGGTGAGTGTCTGGCAGAGACCGAGGCCTCATCTCGGGTGGAGGAAGTTCACGGGAACGGTAACCAGAGCATGAGCACGGGTCCCGAGCACACACAGAGGTGGGTGGCGAGGAGGAGAGAGGGAGGGAGGGAGGGCAGAGGCTTGTGGCGGGCGGTCGAGCAGGAGAGCGAGCGGTGTGCGTGCGGAGGCGACACGTGGAGGCGGCGTGGCGCTGGGGGAGACGGATTGAGAGGGAGCTCATTCTGATGGCTCCAACCTCATCGCCCGGCACGGCTGGGTGGGGGGAGCGGGGGGGGAGCGGGGAGGGAGCGGGGAGGGGGGGGCGTGCGGCGAGCGGAGACGCGGGTTGAGGAGACGGCGGGATTAGCGGCGAGAAGATAACGGGTCCCAGGGCGGGGGGCTAACTTCACACCTGGAGCCCCCCCCCCCCACCCCCCCCCCCCTGGATTAACCCCGGACGACCCGGGGATCGGCGGAGATCGACCCGGAACCCCCCCGGGGCGGCGTGGAGACGTCGTCTCCCGTGGCCATGATCCCCTCTCCCCGATCCCTGATCCCCACGCTCTGATCCCCGAAGCCCCAACACTTCCCCCCACCCCCCCACGTCCCCCTCCCCCCGTCCCCTGCCACCCCCTCCGCACGGCGTTCTCCACGGCTCATTACGCGATGCGGCGATTAAGGAGTTTGAGAAAATGAGTGCAGACACCACCCAGGGGGAGACGCGGGGGGCAGGGGGGGGGGGTGCAGTGTGTGTGTGTGTGTACATGAGTACGTATGTGTGTAAGTGTGCGTGTGCGTCTACATCGGCGGGGAGCGGTGGTGTAGCGGTTAGCGCTACGCTGCGCTACGAACCCGGCGACCCGGGTTCGATTCACGCTCACGGCGAACACCGGTGACGATTATCTGAACCGATTCTGGGTCTCCCCTAGGTCGACTCAGCCTCAAATTAGTAGCTGGTGCGGTGTGTGAGCATCGCCACTAGGGAGACAAAGGCGGCCGGGCGTGGTGTTAGCCACCCACCCCCTCGTGTGCCGTGCCGGCCTTCATAGGTGCTCGCTAACAGCACTTGCCCCTTCAGTCTTTGTAGGCGTCTATGTGTGTAGGTGTGTGTAGGTGTGTGTAGGTGTGTGTAGGTGTGTGTATGTGTGTGTAGGAGTGCGGGAGGGAGAGAGGAATTGTTTGTGTGTGTGCATGTATATGTGTACGTGCGTACCAGCTCGTATTCGCCGTGCGTGCGTGAGTGTGCGTGCGTGTGTACATGTGGGTGCGTGAGTGAGTGTGCCTGTGCACACGTGCGTGCGTGAGTGTGCGTGTGTACACGTGCGTGCGTGAGTGTGCGTGTGTACATGTAGGTGCGTGAGTGTGCGTGTGTACACGTGCGTGAGTGAGTGCGTGCTTGTATACACGTGCGTGAGTGAGTGTGCGTGTGTACACGTGCGTGTGTACATGTGCGTGAGTGAGTGTGCCTGTGTACACGTGCGTGCCTGAGTGTGCGTGTGTACACGTGCTTGCGTGCGTACGTGTGTACATGTGGGTGCGTGTGTACACGTGCGTGCGTGTGCGTGTGTACACGTGCGTGCGTGCGTGTGTACACGTGCGTGCGTGAGTGTGCGTGCGTACACGTGCGTGCGTGAGTGTGCGTGTGTACACGTGCGTGAGTGAGTGTGCGTGTGTACACGTGCGTGAGTGTGCGTGTGTACACGTGCGTGCGTGTGTACACGTGTGTGCGTGTGTGTGCGTGTGTGCACGTGCGTTCGTGTGTACACGTGCGTGCGTGTGCGTGTGTACACGTGTGTGCGTGCGTGTGCGTGTGTACACGTGCGTGCGTGTGTACATGTGGGTGCGTGTGTACACGTGCGTGCGTGAGTGTGCGTGTGTACACGTGCGTGCGTGTGCGTGTGTAAACGTGCGTGCGTGAGTGTGCGTGTGTACACGTGCGTGCGTGCGTGCGTGAGTGTGCATGTGTACACGTGTGTGCGTACCAGCTCGTATTCGTCAAACAGCTGCACGAGGGCAGGGGGGATGAAGCGGTGGAACCCGGCGAGGAAGGCGTTGATCTGCGGGATGATGGCGCGCGTCATCCTCAACTCCGTCACCAGCTGCACGTACTCCCCCTGCACACACACACACAAACACCGTTAGTCCTTACGTACTCCCCCTGCACACGCAACACCGTTAGTCCTCACGTACTCCCCACACACACAAACACAGCCACACCGCACGTACTCCCCCCACACACACAAACACCGCCACACCTCACGTACTCCCCCCCACACACACAAACACCGCCACACCTCACGTACTCCCCACACACACAAACACCGCCACACCTCACGTACTCCCCCCCACACACACACACCGCCACACCTCACGTACTCCCCCCCACACACACACAAACACCGCCACTCCTCACGTACTCCCCCCACACACACACAAACACCGCCACTCCTCACGTACTCCCCCCCACACAAACACCGCCACTCCTCACGTACTCCCCCCACACACACACAAACACCGCCACTCCTCACGTACTCCCCCCCCCCCACACACACAAACACCGCCACACCTCACGTACTCCCCCCCACACACACACAAACACCGCCACACCTCACGTACTCCCCCCACACACACACACACACAGCCACACCTCACGTACTCCCCACACACAAACAGCACCACACCTCACGTACTCCCCACACACACACACAGCCACACCTCACGTACTCCTCCCACACACACACACACACAGCCACACCTCACGTACTCCCCCCACACAAACAGCACCACACCTCACGTACTCCCCACAAACACACACCGCCACACCTCACGTACTCCCCACACACACACAGCACCACACCTCATGTACTCCCCACACACACAAACACCGCCACACCTCACGTACTCCCCCCCACACACACACAAACACCGCCACACCTCACGTACTCCCCCACACACACACAAACACACCGCCACACCTCACGTACTCCCCCCCACACACACACAAACACCGCCACTCCTCACGTACTCCCCCCACACACACACAAACACCACCACACCTCACGTACTCCCCCCACACACACACAAACACCACCACACCTCACGTACTCCCCCCACACACACACACACACCGCCACACCTCACGTACTCCCCCCCCACACACAAACACACCGCCACACCTCACGTACTCCCCCCACACACACACACACACCGCCACACCTCACGTACTCCCCCCCCACACACACACACACCGCCACACCTCACGTAATCCCCACACACACACACACACCACCACACCTCACGTACTCCCCACACACACACAGCACCACACCTCACGTACTCCCCCCCCAACACACACACACACACACCACCACACCTCACGTACCCCCCCCCCACACACACACACACAAACACCACCACACCTCACGTACTCCCCCCCCACACACACACACCGCCACACCTCATGTACACCCCCCCCCACACACACACACCGCCACACCTCACGTACTCCCCACACACACACACAAACACCGCCACACCTCACGTACTCCCCACACACACACACACACACCACCACACCTCACGTACTCACCCCACACACACACAAACACCGTCACACCTCACGTACTCCCCCCACAAACACATACACCGCCACACCTCACGTACTCCCCCCCCACACACACACACACCGCCACACCTCACGTACTCCCCCCACAAACACATACACCGCCACACCTCACGTACTCCCCCCACACACACACACACACCGCCACACCTCACGTACTCCCCCCACAAACACATACACCGCCACACCTCACGTACTCCCCCCCCACACACACACACACTACCACACCTCACGTACTCCCCCACACACACACACCGCTACTCCCACGTACTCCCCCCCCACACACACACACACCGCCACACCTCACGTACTCCCCCCCCACACACACAAACACCACCACACCTCACGTACTCCCCCCACACACACACAAACACCACCACACCTCACGTACTCCCCCCACACACACACACACACACACCACCACACCTCACGTACTCCCCCCCCACACACACAAACACCACCACACCTCACGTACTCCCCCCACAAACACACACACCGCCACACCTCACGTACTCCCCACACACACACACACACCACCACACCTCACGTACTCACCCCACACACACACACACCGCCACTCCTCACGTACTCTCCCCCACACACACACACACCACCACACCTCACGTACTCACCCCACACACACACACACACCACCACACCTCACGTACTCTCCCCCACACACACACACACCACCACACCTCACGTACTCCCCCCACACACACACACACCGCCACACCGCACGTACTCTCCCCCACACACACACACACACCGCCACTCCTCACGTACTCCCCCCACACACACACACACCGCCACACCTCACGTACTCCCCCCACACACACAAACACCGCCACACCGCACGTACTCTCCCCCACACACACACACACACCACCACACCTCACGTACTCCCCCCACACACACACACACCACCACACCTCACGTACTCACCCCACACACACACACACCGCCACACCTCACGTACTCCCCCCACACACACAAACACCGCCACACCTCACGTACTCTCCCCCACACACACACACACACCGCCACTCCTCACGTACTCCCCCCACACACACACACACCACCACACCTCACGTACTCACCCCACACACACACAAACACCGTCACACCTCACGTACTCCCCCCACACACACACACACACCGTCACACCTCACGTACTCCCCCCCCACACACACACCGCTACTCCCACGTACTCCCCCACACACACACACACACCGCCACACCTCACGTACTCCCCCCACACACACACACACCGCCACACCTCACGTACTCCCCCCACACACACACACACCGCCACTCCTCACGTACTCCCCCCCACACACACACACACCGCCACACCTCACGTACTCCCCCACACACACACACACACCGCCACACCTCACGTACTCTCCCCCACACACACACACACACCGCCACTCCTCACGTACTCCCCCCCACACACACAAACACCGTCACACCTCACGTACTCCCCCCCACACACACACACACACCGCCACACCTCACGTACTCTCCCCCACACACACACACACACCGTCACACCTCACGTACTCCCCCCCCCCACACACACACACACCACCACACCTCACGTACTCCCCTCCACACACACACACACCGCCACACCTCACGTACTCCCCCCCCACACACACACACCACCACACCTCACGTACTCCCCCCACACACACACACACCACCACACCTCACGTACTCCCCCCCACACACACACACACACCACCACACCTCACGTACTCCCCCCACACACACACACACACCGCCACACCTCACGTACTCCCGCCACACACACACACACACCGCCACACCTCACGTACTCTCCCCCACACACACACACACCGCCACACCTCACGTACTCTCCCCCACACACACACACACACCGTCACACCTCACGTACTCCCCCCCCCCACACACACACACACCACCACACCTCACGTACTCCCCTCCACACACACACACACCGCCACACCTCACGTACTCCCCCCCACACACACACACCACCACACCTCACGTACTCCCCCCACACACACACAAACACCACCACACCTCACGTACTCCCCCCCACACACACACACACCACCACACCTCACGTACTCCCCCCACACACACACAAACACCACACACGTCACGTACTCCCGCCACACACACACCGCCACACCTCACGTACTCCCGCCACACACACACACACACCGTCACACCTCACGTACTCCCCCCCACACACACACACCGCCACACCTCACGTACTCCCCCCACACACACACACACACCGTCACACCTCACGTACTCCCCCCCACACACACACACACACCGTCACACCTCACGTACTCCCCCCCCCCACACACACACACACCACCACACCTCACGTACTCCCCTCCACACACACACACACCGCCACACCTCACGTACTCCCCCCCACACACACACACCACCACACCTCACGTACTCCCCCCACACACACCCAAACACCACCACACCTCACGTACTCCCCCCCACACACACACACACCACCACACCTCACGTACTCCCCCCACACACACACAAACACCACCACACCTCACGTACTCCCGCCACACACACACCGCCACACCTCACGTACTCCCGCCACACACACACACACACCGTCACACCTCACGTACTCCCCCCCACACACACACACCGCCACACCTCACGTACTCCCCCCACACACACACACACACCGTCACACCTCACGTACTCCCCCCCACACACACACACACACCGTCACACCTCACGTACTCCCCCCCCACACACACACACACACCACCACACCTCACGTACTCCCCCACACACACACACACACCGTCACACCTCACGTACTCCCGCCACACACACACACACACCGCTACTCCCACGTACTCACCCTGCACACTGCACGTCACCTCACTTCACTTTCTGCTGCTTCGCGCACACCGCTCCACTCTGGAATTCCCTCCTCCTCCTCCTCCCCCCCTCTCCCCATCATCATTGTCAACGTCTCTCTCTACCCCCAAGCTCTCACAACAACAACCTTGCTCAATTGAAAACGCCGAAAATGCCAAGCGTCTTGGGCCATCGGGCCCAGTTCTGGGCAAGCGTGTTTCATCGCCACCACCGCCACCCTCACATTCCCCCGGCTACCCACGGGCGAATGCGTCACCTTGTGTGTCACCTCGTGTGTCACCTCGTGTGTCACCTCGTGTGTGTCACCTCGTGTGTCATCTCGTGTGTCACCTCGTGTGTGTCACCTCGTGTGTCATCTCGTGTGTGTCACCTCGTGTGTGTCACCTCGTGTGTGTCACCTCGTGTGTCACCTCGTGTGTCAACTCGTGTGTGTTACCTCGTGTGTGTCACCTCGTGTGTCATCTCGTGTGTCACCTCGTGTGTGTCACCTCGTGTGTGTCATCTCGTGTGTCACCTCGTGTGTCACCTCGTGTGTGTCACCTCGTGTGTGTCACCTCGTGTGTGTCACCTCGTGTGTGTCACCTCGTGTGCGTCACCTCGTGTGGTCACCTCGTGTGTCACCTCGTGTGTCACCTCGTGTGTGTCACCTCGTGTGTCACCTCGTGTGTCATCTCGTGTGTCACCTCGTGTGTCACCTCGTGTGTGTCACCTCGTGTGTCACCTCGTGTGTCATCTCGTGTGTCACCTCGTGTGTCACCTCGTGTGTGTCACCTCGTGTGTCATCTCGTGTGTCACCTCGTGTGTGTCACCTCGTGTGTGTCATCTCGTGTGTCACCTCGTGTGTGTCACCTCGTGTGTGTCACCTCGTGTGTGTCACCTCGTGTGTCACCTCGTGTGTCACCTCGTGTGTGTCACCTTCGTGTGCGTCACCTCGTGTGTCACCTCGTGTGTCATCTCGTGTGTCACCTCGTGTGTCACCTCGTGTGTGTCACCTCGTGTGTCACCTCGTGTGTCATCTCGTGTGTCACCTCGTGTGTCACCTCGTGTGTGTCACCTCGTGTGTCATCTCGTGTGTCACCTCGTGTGTCACCTCGTGTGTCACCTCGTGTGTGTCACCTCGTGTGTGTCACCTCGTGTGTGTCACCTCGTGTGTGTCACCCCGTGTGTCACCTCGTGTGTCATCTTGTGTGTGTCACCTCGTGTGTGTCACCTCGTGTGTGTCACCTCGTGTGTGTCACCTCGTGTGTCACCTCGTGTGTCACCCACCTTATTCTCCTGGGTCACTGCCACGCCGGAGCCCCCGGGCTTGAGCTCCACCTCGGCCATGGACCCGAAGACGTCGGTCTCCACCAGGAAGGTGAGCTCCAGGCCCAGCCCCGAGATGTCGTTGTCCAGGATCCACTGCAGGTTCTTGGCGTACTCGGGGTCGATGGAGGCCACGTCCCGGTAGCTCACGGGGATGCCTGCTCGCCACGCACCGCACACACGCACCGCACGCTCACCACGCACACTCACCACGCACGCTCATCACGCACGCTCACCACGCACGCTCGCCACGCACGCTCACCACGCACGCTCATCACGCACGCTCACCACGCACGCTCGCCACACGCGCTCGCCACGCACGCTCACCACGCACGCTCACCACGCATGCTCACCACGCGCTCGCCACACGCGCTCACCACGCGCGCTCGCCACGCACGCTCGCCACGCGCGCTCGCCACGCGCGCTCACCACATGCGCTCACCACGCGCGCTCGCCACGTCTGAGACACCCCCCTCCATCCCCCCTTGCCCCCACAGAAGCGAGTGAGTGAGTGGGTGAGTGAGTGAGTGGGTGAGTGGGTGAGTGAGTGAGTGAGTGGTGAGTGAGTGAGTGAGTGTGTAAGTGAGTGTGTGAGTGTGTGAGTGGGTGAGTGAGTGAGTGATTGAGTGTGTGAGCGAGTGAGTGAGTGTGTGAGTGTGTGAGTGAGTGAGTGTGTGAGTGGTGTGTGAGCGAGTGAGCGAGTGAGCGAGTGAGCGAGTGAGCGTGTGAGTGAGTGAGTGGTGAGTGTGTGAGTGAGTGAGTATGTGAGTAAGTGTGTGAGTGAGTGAGTGAGCGTGTGAGTGAGTGAGCGAGTGAGTGTGTAAGTGAGTGTGTGAGTGTGTGAGTGAGTGAGTGAGTTCGTGAGTGAGTGAGTGAGCGAGCGAGTGAGTGAGTGAGTGAGTGAGCGAGCGAGTGAGTGAGTGAGTGAGCGAGTGAGTGAGTGTGTGAGTTTGTGAGTGTGTGAGTGAGCGAGTGAGTGAGTGGTGAGTGAGTGAGTGAGCGAGTGAGCCAGTGTGTGAGTGAGTGAGTATGTGAGTAAGTGTGTGAGTGAGTGTGTGAGTGTGTGAGTGAGTGAGTGTGTGAGTGAGTGAGTGAGTGAGTGTGTGAGTGAGTGTGTGAGTGTGTGAGTTTGTCAGTGTGTGAGTGAGTGAGTGAATGGTGAGTGAGCGAGTGAGTGTGTGAGTGAGTGTGTGAGTGAGTGTGTGAGTGAGTGAGTGTGTGTGTGTGAGTGATTGAGTGTGTGAGTGAGTGAGTGTGTGAGTGAGTGTGTGAGTGAGTGGTGTGAGTGATTGAGTGTGAGTGAGTGAGTGTGTAGCTGTGGAGTGATGTGAGGTGGAGTGAGTGAGTGAGCGCGTGAGGTGAGTGAGTGTGTGAGTGAGTGTGTGTGTGAGTGTGTGATGAGTGTGTGAGCGAGTTGAGTGAGCGAGTGAGTGTGTGAGTGAGTGTGTGAGTGAGTGGTGAGTGTGTGAGTCGAGCGAGTGAGTGAGTGAGTGTGTGAGTGAGTGAGTGAGCGAGTGAGCGAGTGAGTGTGTGAGTGAGTGAGCGAGTGAGCGAGTGAGTGAGTGAGCGAGTGAGCGAGCGAGTGAGCGAGTGAGTGAGTGTGTGAGTGAATGAGTGAGTGAGTGAGTGTGTGAGTGTGTGAGTGTGTGAGTGAGTGAGCGAGTGAGTGAGTGTGTGAGTGTGTGAGTGAGTGTGTGAGTGTGTGAGCGAGTGAGTGAGTGAGAGTGGCGGGGCGCTGGAGAAGGCCTCTGCACTGGGGTGCCGAGTGGGGATGGAATCGCGCGCGTTGCGGCGCGGGCATCATCCCTGTCATTAGCAGTCTCATTGAATTATCCAGCCGAGGTCACGGGGCGAGACGCACGCACGCACACACACACACAAGAGACAAAGATCCCCCGTATAGCATCAATAGACTGTTGGGGCAAGTGCTGTTAGCAAGAACCTATGAAGGCCGGAACAGCCAACGAGGGGGTGCGTGGCAAGCACCACACCCGGCCGCCTTTGTCTCCCTAGTGGCGATGTTTACACACCGCACTAGGTACACATTTGAGGCTGAGCCGACCTAGGAGAAGCCCAGGACCGGTACAGATAATCGTCACACGCACACGCACGCACACGCGTACACATGTATCACACGCGCGCACGCACGCCTCCCTCCCTCCCTCCACCCCCCACCCCCCTCCAGGGCATGGAGAAGGGGGGGAGGGAGGCGTGGAGTGCGAAGGAGGAGGAGTGTGGGGGGGGTGGAGTGGAATTGATGCTCGCGGTAGCTCTAGGGGGAGCACACAAACACAACGAGGTTTTAATTTGATAATCGCCGCGCACTCAATTTGCCGCCTGGGATCCCCCCCCCCCCACCCCGTCCCATCCCCCTTCCTCTCCCTGCGTCCGCGGCGCCAGAGCTGCGGGCACCAGGGTCAGACCCCCACACACAGGCAGCAGCGTCGGCCCCTGCAGGCACCACGACAGTCACGTCACCGCAGACGTCGCGGGCAGCCGCGTGCGGCACGAGCACTCCGGGGCACTCCAGTCCCGGGGACGCGGAACCCTGTCGTTACCGTAGGCCCGAGCGACGGCCTCGAACCCCGGGCCGCCCGCTCGCGGCACGGGGACCGGCCGCCGTGGCCAAACGCGGCCAAACGCCGAGCTCACCGAGAATGTGCTTGTAGAAGGAGCGGGTGAAGTAGACGTTGACGAGGTGGCGGTGGTACAGGGCCAGGCCCAGGATCTGCCCCGCGAAGCGGAAGTAGTTCAGGTGGTCGGGGTTCACGGAGGAGTTGCTGTTTGGCTGAAACGTCGTTCCTGGGGTGTGGGGCAACGGGGACGTGGAGACGTGAGGACGCGGGGACGTGGGGAGACGCGCGGAGACACAGTGAGACACAGGGAGACACACGGAGACACAGGGAGACACAGTGAGACACAGGGAGACACACGGAGACACGCAGAGGCACAGTGTCCCCGTGACACAGTGAGACACAGTGAGACACAGGGAGACACAGTTTCCCAATGACACAGTGAGACACAGTGAGACACAGGGAGACACGCGGAGACACAGTGAGACACGCGGAGACACGCAGAAACACAGGGAGACACACGGAGACACAGTGAGACACAGTGAGACACAGTGAGACACAGTGAGACACAAGGAGACACAGAGAGACACAGTGTCCCAATGACACAGGGAGACACAGGGAGACACAGGAAAACAACCCTGTCTCCATCCACATACGGGGGATGAACGTTAAAGCTGAGTCGACATAGAAGAGTCCCAGGACCGGTAAAGGAATCCTCACCGATGTTGGCTGTCAGCGGAATTCGAACCCTGGTCACTGGGTTTGTAGCGGAGTGCGCTAACCACTGCGCCACCGCTCCCCACGTATCCACATACGTGTGCACGCTGGATAAATTGGCCACTTCGAAGACAATTTGCAGAGCAGCAGCTGTGCGTGCATATGTGTGTATGCGTGTGCCTGCGTGTGTGTGTGCACGTGTGTGTATGTGTATGTGCGTGTGTGTGTGCGTGTGTGTGTGTGTGTGTGTGCGTGTGTGTATGCGTGTGCCTGCGTGTGTGTGTGTGCACGTGTGTATGTGTATGTGCGTGTGTGTGTGCGTGTGTGTGTGTGTGTGCGTGTGTGTGTGGTGTGCACGTGTGTGTATGTGTGTGTGCGTGTGTGTGTGTGTGTGTGTGTGTGCGCGTGTGTGCGTGTGTGTGTGTATGTGTGTGTGTGTGCGTGTGTGTGTGTGCGTGTGTGTGTGTGTGCGCGTGTGTGCGTGTGTGTGTGTGTGTGCGTGTGTGTGCGTGTGTGCGTGTGTGTGTGCACGTGTGTGTGTGTGTGTGTGCGTGTGTGTGTGCACGTGTGTGGTGTGCGCGTGTGTGTGTGCACGTGTGTGTGTGTGCGCGTGTGTATGTGTGTGTGCGTGTGTGTGTGTGCGTGTGTGTGTGTGCCTGCGCGTGTGTGTGTGCGCGTGTGTGTGTGCCTACGTGTGTGTGTGCGCGTGTGTGTGTGTGCGTGTGTGTGTGTGTGCGTGTGTGTGTGTGCGCGTGTGTGTGTGTGTGCGTGTGTGTGTGTGCCTGCGTGTGTGTGTGCCTACGTGTGTCTGTGTGTGCCTACGTGTGTGTGTGCGCGTGTGTGTGTGCCTACGTGTGTGTGTGCGCGTGTGTGTGTGTGCGTGTGTGTGTGTGTGTGCGTGTGTGTGTGCGTGTGTGCGCGTGTGTGTGTGTGTGTGTGCGTGTGTGTGTGTGTGTGCGTGTGTGTGTGCGCGTGTGTGTGTGTGCCTACGTGTGTGTGTGCGCGTGTGTGTGTGTGCGTGTGTGTGCGTGTGCCTGCGTGTGTGTATGTGCGCGTGTGTGTGTGCCTACGTGTGTGTGTGCGCGTGTGTGTGTGTGTGTGCCTGCGTGTGTGGGGCACGGTGCCTGTGGGTGGCCACTCACCATCGGCGGACTGCGTGAAGAGAGCGTAGTCCGGGTTGAGGATCTCGTTTGAGAGAATGTCGAACCACTCCCTCACCACTCCCTGGCCCTGCACACACCGCACACCACACACCACACACATCACCACACCATGCCGCACCACACACCACCGCCACACCGCACCAGACACATCACCACACCGCACCACACCACCACACATACCACCACACCATACACACCACCGAACCACACACAAGACACCTCACATACCACCACATACACCACCGCGCCACACACGCCACCACACCATACACACCACCACACCGCACCACACAAACCACCACACACTCCACCACACCGCACCGCATCAATACACCGCACTTGCTGGGTGCAAGGTGTTTGGATGCAGGGTACTGGGGGTGCAGGGTGCCGGGGTGCAGGGTGCTGGGGGTGCAGGGTTCTGGGGGTGCAGGGTGCAGGATGCTGGGGGTGCAGGGGGTGCAGGGTGCAGGCTGCAGGGTGCAGGGTGCTGGGGGTGCAGGGTGCTGGGATGTGCAGGGTGCTGGGGGTGCAGGGTGCTGGGATGTGCAGGGTGCTGGGGGTGCAGGGTGCTGGGGGTGCAGGGTGATGGGGGTGCAGGGTGCTGGGGGTGCAGGGTGCTGGGGGTGCAGGGTGCAGGGTGCTGGGGGTGCAGGGTGCAGGGGGTGCAGGGTGCAGGGGGTGCAGGGTGCTGGGGGTGCAGGGTGCTGGGGGTGCAGGGTGCTGGGGGTGCAGGGTGCAGGGTGCTGGGGGTGCAGGGTGCAGGGTGCTGGGGGTGCAGGGTGCTGGGGGTGCAGGGTGCGGGGGGTGCAGGGTGCGGGGGGTGCAGGGTACTGGGGGTGCAGGGTGCAGGGTGCTGGGGGTGCAGGGTGCTGGGGGTGCAGGGTGCAGGATGCTGGGGGTGCAGGGTGCAGGGGGTGCAGGGTGCTGGGGGTGCAGGGTGCAGGGTGCTGGGGGTGCAGGGTGCTGGGGGTGCAGGGTGCAGGGGGTGCAGGGTGCAGGGTGCTGGGGGTGCAGGGTGCTGGGGGTGCAGGGTGCTGGGGGTGCAGGGTGCAGGGTGCTGGGGGTGCAGGGTGCTGGGGGTGCAGGGTGCTGGGGGTGCAGGGTGCAGGGTGCAGGGTGCTGGGGGTGCAGGGTGCTGGGGGTGCAGGGTGCAGGGGGTGCAGGGTGCAGGGGGTGCAGGGTGCTGGGGGTGCAGGGTGCAGGGTGCTGGGGGTGCAGGGTGCAGGGGGTGCAGGGTGCAGGGTGCTGGGGGTGCAGGGTGCTGGGGGTGCAGGGTGCTGGGGGTGCAGGGTGCAGGGTGCTGGGGGTGCAGGGTGCTGGGGGTGCAGGGTGCTGGGGGTGCAGGGTGCAGGATGCTGGGGGTGCAGGGTGCAGAGGGTGCAGGGTGCTGGGGGTGCAGGGTGCAGGGTGCTGGGGGTGCAGGGTGCTGGGGGTGCAGGGTGCAGGGGGTGCAGGGTGCAGGGTGCTGGGGGTGCAGGGTGCTGGGGGTGCAGGGTGCTGGGGGTGCAGGGTGCAGGGTGCTGGGGGTGCAGGGTGCTGGGGGTGCAGGGTGCTGGGGGTGCAGGGTGCAGGGTGCTGGGGGTGCAGGGTGCTGGGGGTGCAGGGTGCAGGGGGTGCAGGGTGCAGGGGGTGCAGGGTGCTGGGGGTGCAGGGTGCAGGGTGCTGGGGGTGCAGGGTGCAGGGGGTGCAGGGTGCTGGGGGTGCAGGGTGCTGGGGGTGCAGGGTGCTGGGGGTGCAGGGTGCAGGGTGCTGGGGGTGCAGGGTGCTGGGGGTGCAGGGTGCTGGGGGTGCAGGGTGCAGGGTGCAGGGTGCTGGGGGTGCAGGGTGCTGGGGGTGCAGGGTGCAGGGGGTGCAGGGTGCAGGGGGTGCAGGGTGCTGGGGGTGCAGGGTGCAGGGTGCTGGGGGTGCAGGGTGCAGGGGGTGCAGGGTGCAGGGTGCTGGGGGTGCAGGGTGCTGGGGGTGCAGGGTGCTGGGGGTGCAGGGTGCAGGGTGCTGGGGGTGCAGGGTGCTGGAGGTGCAGGGTGCAGGGTGCAGGGTGCGGCCTCACCACGCCCTCCTCCCCGTGGAACCGCACGGCGATCCCCTGCTTCAGCTTCTCCTGGCTCACCTTGGACACCATCTCACAGCTGCTCTCAAACACCGAGTCTGTGCCCACACAGACAAAGATCCCCCCTGTAGCCTTCACAAGCTTCCAGGGCAAGTGCTGTTAGCGAGTAGCACGTATGAAGGCCGGCACGGCACACCGGGGGGTGAGTGGCCAGCACCACGCCCGGACGTCTTTGTCTCACTATTTGCGATGTTTTTACACCGCACCAGTTACTCATTTGAGTCTGAGTCGACCTAGGGGAGGCCCAGGACCCGTTCAGATAATCGTCACTGGTGTTGGCCGGGATTGAACTCGCGTGGCACACTCCCGCGCTCACTTACACACTCACACGCTCACTCACACACTCACACGCTCACTCAGACTCACTCACTCACACACTCACTCACTCACACGCTCACTCACTCACACTCACTCACTCACACACTCACTCACACTCTCACAATCACACGCTCACACACTCACTCACACGCTCACTCACACACTCACTCACACACTCACTCACACTCACTCACACACACACACGCTCACTCACTCACACTCACACGCTCACTCACACACTCACTCACACTCACACGCTCACTCACACAATCACTCACACACTCACTCACTCACCCACACACTCCCTCTCACACCCTCTCGCTTGCGCCGCCCGTGACGTTGGTGTCAGCAGGCGGCTCGTGGCCGCCCCCCCGCGAGCTCCTGACGGCCGGGCCCCGGTAATTGCCGGGTAATTGCCGCGGTGTCGACGAGTAATTACGGCGAAATCGCACGGCAGCAGCAGCAGCGGCAGCGGCGGCAGCGATGGCAGCCGAGAGGGAAATTGCTCGAGTCAGACTAACTCCGGGGCTCGCTCGCAATCACAGCCGACAGCGACTGCCAGGCTCACGTGACCATGCAGCCTCTGTCAGTCTCGTGTGACGGTACAGCCTCTGTCGGTCTAACGTGACGGTACAGCCTCTGTCAGTCTAACGTGACGGTACAGCCTCTGTCAGTCTAACGTGATGGTACAGCCTCTATCAGTCTAACGTGGAGGTACAGCCTCTGTCAGTCTCACGTGATGATACAGCCTCTGTCAGTCTAACGTGACGGTACAGCCTCTGTCAGTCTCACGTGATGATACAGCCTCTGTCAGTCTAACGTGGAGATACAGCCTCTGTCAGTCTCACGTGATGATACAGCCTTTGTCAGTCTAATGTGATGATACAGCCTCTGTCAGTCTAATGTGATGATACAGCCTCTGTCAGCCTAACGTGACGGTACAGCCTCTGTCAGTCTCACGTGATGGTACAGCCTCTGTCAGTCTAACGTGGAGGTACAGCCTCTGTCAGTCTCACGTGATGATACAGCCTTTGTCAGTCTAATGTGATGATACAGCCTCTGTCAGTCTAATGTGATGATACAGCCTCTGTCAGCCTAACGTGACGGTACAGCCTCTGTCAGTCTCACGTGATGGTACAGCCTCTATCAGTCTAACGTGATGGTACAGCCTCTGTCAGTCTCACGTGATGATACAGCCTCTGTCAGTCTAACGTGGAGATACAGCCTCTATCAGTCTAACGTGATGATACAGCCTCTGTCAGTCTAACGTAATGGTACAGCCTCTGTCAGTCTAACGTGATGGTACAGCCTCTGTCAGTCTAACGTGACGGGGGAGGGAGGGAGGGGGGGGCGTCCTATGGGGTCGTGTGGGGTCACGCGGGGTCACGTGGAGTCAAATGAAAATGACGAGCAAAATCAATGCGGGGGCCGTCGCTGCCGCTGCCAAAGCCGCCGCGTCGACGCTTTGCGGACCGCTCTGGGCCGAGACGTGCGTTGCAGCAGGAGCATTGTCACTTTGTTAGCGGGCGGGCGCCGGCGTGAGCGTGGTGACCGCTCGCAGCGCGGGGGCCTCTGCGGGACCCAAGGCCGCCGCTCCCAGGACCAGGCTCGGGGGTCAGTGACCTCGTCGAGGTCACCCCACACAGCCGCCCACTTCTCAAGTCGCGATCCCCATCCCCTCTGGGATCACGCCGTTGCTGCTGCCACCGCCGCCGCTGTACCCTTCCTGGAGTCTCGCCCGGCTCCGGCAGAACTCCAGAATGAACCCCTCTTCTTGGTTCTTTCGGTAAAGTAACGTAGAATGGAAATAATAAAATAATAAAAATGAAACATAATAAAATAATTCTCACGACGTTTCGGCTACAACGCAAGTAGCCGTCCTCAGGTGGAGAACAGGTCTGTCGAGGAGACAGAGTCTTATTTTATTATGTTTTATTTTTGTTATTTTATTATTTCCCTTCTACGTGACTTTACCGAAAGAACCAAGAAGATGAATCCCTGCAGTCACGAAAGCTTTAAATCGAAAAATGAACCCCCTCGTTTGAGAGTCAAACATCGCCGCACCTGCTCATCATCGAAGGCACCGAGTCGGGGTGGGGGTCACCGCGGGGCTGAGCGCACCTCTGTGGACGAGCAGGACGTCGCCCTCACTGACGGGACGGTGCACCATGGCCGTGTCCTGTCCGTCCGACAGCAGGTTCTCGTAGAACCAGTCGCAGCGATCCTTGAAGGGCTGCGGGACACGGGGACCTATCACAACCCAGCCGTGTTGCCACCTGCGACGGTTTGATTTGCTGGCATCCGTCCCCCCCCCCCCCCCCCCTGTCGAGGCAACAGCTGACCTGGGAGATCTACGTCTTCCCGGGACATCTGCGAGTCTTGGAGGGAGGGAGGGTGAGTGGGTGGGTGGATAGGTGAGTTCGTGTGTGTGTTTAGGTGGGTGAGCGACTGATAGGCTTGTCACCTGTCCTGTTGAGGTGGACGGCAGCTGTGCCGGGACATCGAGAGACCCCGGGGCCGTGCCCGTTACACAACAGCGGCAGCGACCGCTGTGAGCTCCGCTACAGCGTGAGCGGCGTCGCTACGACATCCCACGGGGGACTCGTGGCGATAACCAACTCGCCCGTGGCGTGCGCAACCCCCCCCCCCTCTCTCTCACCGCTCAATTCAAGGGACGCGCGACACCCGAATCCGACGCGAACCCTTTTCTGTTGACCGCTTTCGAGAGTGCCGTTTGTCGCTGGCCCCCTCCACGGTTTGGCCGCGTGACGGGCGCCTGACGCCCTAGCGACCGCCCATCTCACCGGCTCACGCCGCTGCGCCCCTCGCATTACTCGGACTCGGACGACGATGACGACGGTGACCTCGCGAGCTGGGAGAGAGTTTCAATCGTCGCGTCGTCGCGGGAGCGCGGGACGGGAGCCGCGACACGCTCCGTAAACACCGCTGCTCATCCGCTTTACCCCCCCACCACAAATCCCCCTGTCACGGGCGACCTGGCGCGGCAACGCGTCTCCGCCGCCGCCGTCACCACGTCTCCGCGCTTCGCATTCACCGCGCGCAGCCCCCTCCCCCGCCCCCCCGAGCCGCCCGCGGCGCCGGTGACCTCCTGTCCCGTCCCCACGAAGTGCCGGACCCTGCCGAGTTAAAGCCGAATTACGGCCTCAACAAGTCCCGCGACCAAGGGCAGTGCGAGACCTGGGGCCGGATGGTGGGAGACGGTGAGGGCAGCTCTATGGGTCTCTGTGTGAATCTATGGGTCTCTGTGTTGACCTTTGGGTCTCTGTGTGAATCTATGGGTCTCTGTGTGAATCTATGGGTCTCTGTGTGAATCTATGGGTCTCTGTGTGAATCTATGGGTCTCTGTGTGAATCTATGGGTCTCTGTGTGAATCTATGGGTCTCTGTGTGAATCTATGGGTCTCTGTGTGAATCTATGGGTCTCTGTGTGAATCTATGGGTCTCTGTGTGAATCTATGGGTCTCTGTGTGAATCTATGGGTCTCTGTGTTGACCTATGGGTCTGAGTGGTTCCATGGGCCTCTGTGCGAGTCTGTGCACGAGCGAGTGGGCGAGTCGTTGTTGTCGTTGCGTGCGGTGCGGTGCAGTGCGGATGGGCCGGGAGTCGAACCTGAGACTTGGTGATGTGCATGAAGCGCGACATGAGCTCGGGGCACTCCAGCAGGAAGTGGAAGTGGTGGAAGATGATCTTGGGCTTCCGCGTGACGAAGCACTTGAGCACCCCGTCGTGCCGGCACACAAACTCGATGAAGCGCGGCGACGTGAGCCTGCGGGCCGCACGGCACACGACACAAGGTGACGCACGGCACACACATGACGCACGGCACACACGTGACGCACGGCACACGCGCTACGCTCACGGCACACGCCACGCGCACTGCACACGTGACGCACGACACACACATGACGCACGGCACACGCGCCATGCTCGCGACACACGCCACGCGCACTGCACACGTGACGCACGACACACACGTGACGCACGGCACACACGTAACGCACGGCACACGCGCTACGCTCACGGTACACGCCACGCGCACTGCACACGTGACGCACGACACACACATGACGCACGGCACACACGTGACGCACGGCACACGCGCTACGCTCACGGCACACGCCACGCGCACTGCACACGTGACGCACGACACACGCGCCGCGCACCGCGACGACAACGGCGAGCCGCCGTTCACCACCGAGCACCGGTAGCATCGCGGCAGCGTTTGCGCCGGGCCGGGTGCACTTGGAGGCCGCCGCACGACGCGCGGACGGCTCTCGCCGCCGGCAGGAGGCCGAGGGACGTCGGCGTACCCGTCGGGCGTGGTGCACGAGCAGACGAGGTAGAAGGCCTGGATGACGGCGCTCAGCCGATCGGCCGTCACCTCGATCACGTCCTCTCCCTGCTCGGGGTCCGCCGGCGGCCCCCCCTCCGCCTCCTCCTGCTCCCCGGGGCGGCCCGACGCGTCGGCCTCCGCGCGGGGGGCGGCCTTGTCCCCCCCGGCGTCCGGGCGTGGACGGGGGCCGGGCGGGGGCGAGGAGGTGGGGGCCCGCGTCCCCTCCTCCCCGGGGTCGCCGGGAGACGCGGCCGGCACGGCGGGGGATGGGCGGTCCGGGCCCCCCCGCCTCGCGGTCTCGCCCCCCTCGTCCCCCGCGTCGTCCGACCCCTCCGGGGGGGTCGCGCGGGCCCCCCGGTCGGAGACGGGCCCCGACGCCTCGGCCTGCGCCGCGTGCTTGCGGAGGAGCGCGGCCCGGACCCCCTCGCCGGGGGGGTCCGCGAGGGTCTGGGTGGACTGCAGCTCGACCCCCAGCAGCACGAGCCACTCGTTGAGCGAGTGCCACAGGGGTTCCAGTGGCTGGGGTTCACACACGCGAGCGAGTGCACGCGCACACGCACACACGCACACACACGGACACACGCGCAGGCACACACCCGCATACAGACACATGCAGGCACACACGGGCATACAGACACACGTGCATACAGACGCACGCACATATGGACACACACACACGTACACACACACACGGACACACGCAGGCACACACGCGCATACAGACACATGCAGGCACACACGCGCATACAGACACACGCGCATACAGACGCACGCAGGCACATACGCACACACGGACACACGCGCGCGCACACACGGACACACACGGACACACGCAGGCACACACGCGCATACAGACACGCAGGCACACACAGACACACGCAGGCACACACACACGCAGAGGCAGTGTTACATGCAACATCTGGCTGCGACATCACCACGGCGCTTGTGCCAGGCTAGGTGTACTTCTCAGCTATCATTTCAAGGCTCTCTGTCGCTGCTGGCAGGAGATCACAGGCCAGACCCAGGTGCCGGCGGTTGACCGAGATGACTGGCAGATGCGCTGCCTGTGTTTTTTAGCCGCCCGGCGCTCAACTCTCGTTGTTCGTGACACGCCGAGTGTTGCATGTGTCCGCGCACGCACACACGCACACAACCCGCAGAGTTACACACACACGCGCGCAGACGTGCGCAGACGCACAGACACAAAGGTCCCCCGTGTAACCTACATAGGCTGTTAGGGCAAGTGCTGTTTGCCAGCTGTTCTTCGCACTTTGTGGGTCACCGCCCCTCTGCTCACAGACACACACACGCACACGTTGACACACATACACATGCATACAAAGGCAAAGACAAAATCCCCCGTATAGCCTTAACAAACTATTGGGGCAAGTGCTGTTTGCGAGCACCTATGAAGGCTGGCACGGTATACAAGGGGATGGGTGATCAGCACCATGCCCGACCGCCTTTGTCTCCCCAGTGGTGATGTTTACCACAATGCACCAGGCATCAATTTCAGGCTGAGTCGACCTAGGGAGTGCCCAGGACCGGTTCAGAAAATCTTCATGGGTGTTGGCCGTGAGCGGGAATCGAACCCGGGTCGCCGGGTTCGTAGTGCAGCGCGCTAACCACTACACCACTGCTTTCACACACTCTCACACACTCTCACACACATTCTCACACACTCACACTCTCACACACTCACACACACACTCTCACACTCTCTCACACTCTCACACTCACACACTCTCACACACTCACACCCTCACACCCTCACACTCACACACTCACACACTCACACTCTCACACTCTCACACACTCACACTCTCACACACTCACACACTCACTCACACACTCTCACACTCTCACACTCACACACTCTCACACACTCACACCCTCACACTCTCACACACTCACTCACACACTCTTACACTCTCACACTCACACACTCTCACACTCTCACACACTCACACACTCACACTCTCACACTAACACACTCACACCCACACACTCTCACACACTCACACTCTCACACTCTCACACTAACACACCCACACACTCTCACACACTCTCACACTCACACACTCTCACACACACACACTTGCTCAACTCACCCAAACTCACACACTGTCACACATTCTCACACTCACTCTCACACATTCACTCTCACACTCTCACTGTTTCACACTCTATCACACTCTCTCACAATCTCAGATATTATCTATCAACCTCACACTCTCTCACACTCTCACACACTCTCTCACACACTCTCTCCCCCTCTCACTCTCCCCCACCCTCACACACTCTCACTCTATCAACCTCACACACTCTCACACACTCTCTCACTCTCTCCCCCTCTCACTCTCCCCCACCCTCACACACTCTCACTCTATCAACCTCACACTCTCTCAACACTCTCTCACTCTATCAACCTCACACACTCTCAAAAACACTCTCTCTCACTCTCTTCCACACTATCTCCCTCTCACACTCTCACACACTCTCTCACTCTCCAACACTCTCTCACACTCTCTCACCCTCCCACTCTCACACACTCTCACTCTCCCACACTCTCTCCCACATCCTCACACTCTCTCACACTCTCTCACACTCTCTCACTCTATCAACCTCACACACTCTCAAAAACACTCTCTCTCTCACTCTCTCCCACACTCTCTCCCTCTCACACTCTCACACACTCTCTCACTCTCCCACACTCTCTCCCACATCCTCACACTCTCTCTCACACTCTCTGCCTCTCACACACTCTCTCACTCTCTCACCCTCTCTCACTCTCCCCCACCCTCACACACTCTCACTCTATCAACCTCACACTCTCTCAACACTCTCTCACTCTATCAACCTCACACACTCTCACACACTCTCACACTCTCTCACCCTCTCTCACTCTCCCCCACCCTCACACACTCTCACTCTATCAACCTCACACTCTCTCAACACTCTCTCACTCTATCAACCTCACACACTCTCACACACTCTCTCACTCTCTCACCCTCTCTCACTCTCCCCCACCCTCACACACTCTCACTCTACCAACCTCACACTCTCTCAACACTCTCTCACTCTATCAACCTCACACACTCTCACTCTATCAACCTCACACTCTCTCACACACTCTCTCACACACTCTCTCACTCTCTCCCACTCTCTCACCTTCTCACTCTCACCCTCACACCCTCACACACTCTCTGCCCTGGCGACATCAGTGCACCCCCCACCCCCCACCCCCCACCCCCCACCACCCCCCCCCCCCCTTCTCACGCCCGTTGTCTCGCTCCGCGGGTTCTTGTGATCAAAGCTCGTCGTGGAGGGGGCGGGGCTGGAGGGGAGGCGGGGAGGGCGCATTTCAAACGCACGTTGCCTTCAGCTCGTGTCGTACGCGGACAGGTGTACGGGCGCGGGAGAGATCGCGCGCGTGTGAGGCTGTGCGTGTGTGTGGGGAGTGGTGGTGCAGCGGTTAGCGCTATGAACCTGGCCACCCGGGTTCGATTCCCGCTCACGGCCAAAATCAGTGGCGATTATCTGAACCGGTCCTGGGCCTCCCCTAGGTCGACTCAGTCTCAAATGAGTACCTGGTGCGGTGTGTAGTAAACATCAGCGCTGGGGAGATGAATGCGGCCGCGCGTGGTGCTTTGTGTGAGTGTGGTCTCGAGTGTGGATGTGTGCGTGCGTCTCTGGACGTGTGTGTAAGACGTGGGCACCTGGGACGGAGCGACTGGAAGGCATGGGCCAGATCAGCTCGGTTAACAACGGTAGGAGGGGGCTGGTATAGACTTCTGTGCAGCCTGTGGACTTGTAATGATCAACACGCTATTCCGGCGTCAGCGCATCAACACATCATAGATGCATCACAGGTCCAAGCTGGAACATCTGCCAGGCTATAGCGACAGAACAGCGAGTCCTGGCCCATGTCCTTGGCACCAGCACCTACCATGGAACTCATCTGCCTCCCCGACCATCGCCTTGTGATCTGTAAGATGCGCCTGCCAAACCCACGGTGGCCTGGTCTCGCATCACTGATGGGAGCTGCAAGAATGTCATCATCGCTTGCAGCTTGAATTGGCATCGTCCTCCTACGGATGGCGGGACCTGTGGTTCCTGCACCTGCTCTAGCTGCACTGGGGTACGCAGTCCAAACCTCCCCAGGAAGCCTTGGCTTGATGGAGGAGGTCGTTCCGGCGAGCTCAGAGCAAGCGAGCGACAGGGCAGCCTTCACTCGGAGGTTGGGAGAGGGCGCACGGAGCTGCAAGGTTGAATGGTGGTCACGAGTTACTGAGGAGAGATGAGCGCTGCCTCGGTAGCTTCAAGTGAGTCGCTTTAATTTCACTGAAGAAGCAACCCGCAGCGCCGCACCTATTTCCATCCTTGAGGGGAAGAACAGTGATCCGACCTCTGACCAGAGGTCGCAACCGGGTACCCGATACCCGTACCCTACCCGATACCAGGCTACCCGTACCCGGCTGGGTACGGGTACCCGTTTGCGACCCTGGTGCGGCCGGGTACGGGTACGGGTAGGCCGTGAGTCACTGGTGAGTCACCGTTTGTCACTCATTTCCTAACGTCTTGTCTCTTCTCACAATTCAAGTTCCTAGAATCAACCCACCCGCGCATGCAACATGGCTTCATCCCAGAGGTCGCAATCAGGTACCCGATACCCGTACCCTACCCATACCCGGCCGGGTACGGGTAGGTTACAGGTACGGGTACCCGTTTGCGACCCTGGTGCGGCCGGGTACGGGTACGGGTAAGGAATCAAAACCCGTTTGCGACCTCTGCCTCTGACCCCTCTAGGAACGGGTTTGCTGGAGAAAAGCCCCTCAACTCGAACAACACCGTGACCCTACTGGCGCTGTGGTTCCTCGAATATTGTGGAAAAGGAGCAAACTCGCAGGCAATGGGATGGATGATGTGCCTGTGAAGGATGTGTGAAGATCCATCCAGAGTTTGAGACCAGGTAACGTGCCCTTGCCAGGCAGCGTGCTGACTTGCCAAGCTCCGATGTCGGTTCAGGCCGGGGCGGTACGGCACGGACGCCATATTCTCTGTCCGTCTGCTACAGCAGAGGTGCCGGGAATTTCGATGGGCCCTGCATCTCCGCTATGTTGACTTGGTCAAGGCCTACGATACCATCAGTAGGCCAGGCCTCTGGTTTGTTCTTCGTGCTTTGAGAATCCCTGACCCTCTGCTCACAATAATTATGGTAGGCAGGCCCCGGTGATGGGGCAGTTATGGAGAAGTCTAGCAGCATATGTTCACCAGTTTCGTAACGCTTGTGTGATAGCTTCCCGGTTTATCACTCCATACGAAGCTCCGGGTCTTCTTGGCCACAGTTATCATCCCCCCCCCCACTCCTTCTCTATGCTTGAGAAAAGTGGAGCCCATTAAAGGAACAGCTGCTGACGTTTTAAACATCAAGGCTGGCCTGCCTACGATCCTTCCTGGGCTTTACCTAACTGGATTGTCTAAGGAGCCCGCAGATCCTTGAAAGATCTGGACACAGTCGCATCAGCAAGCTCCTCTGGCAAGCTGCGTTGGCTGGGTCATGTAGCCCGCATGCCCAGCCACCGCATGGCCAAGCAGCTTTCGTTTGGCCGTACAGAGGGGGCTAAACGGGCGAAGCATAGGCTGACGAAGAGGTGGGCTGATGCGGCACAGGAAGATATGTAGCCGAGTTAACTTGCCGTTGACCGATAAGAGCGGGTGTCAAGGTCGGCCTCATTAAAAACTTCCACTGGGGCAGTTGAGAGAGTGTGAGGTTGATAGAGCAGCAGCGCTCACAACAGCTGGGTGCGTCCCGTGACCTCCTGCCAGTGAACTCTGGACACTTCATGTGGCCTCAAAGTGCACCGAGCCTGACACAGGCATCGCGGATCACCAAGTGGTGAATGGCGACTGCTGCTGTTGTTGTTACTGTGTGTGCGTGTGTGCGTGCGTACGTGCGCGTACGTGCGCGCGTGTGTGTGCATGTTTGTGTGTGTGTGCGTGTGTGTGTACGTGTGTGTGTGCGTGTGTGCGTGCGTGTGTGTGTGTGCGTGCGTGTGTGTGTGTACGTGTGCGTGTGTGTGTGTGTACGTGTGTGTGTGTACGTGTGTGTGTGTGTGTGCGTGTGTGCGTGCGTGTGTGCGTGTGCGTGTGTGTGTGCGTGCGTGTGTGCGTGTACGTGTGTGTGCGTGTGTGTACGTGTGTGTGTGCGTGTGTGTGTGTGTGCGTGCATGTGTGTGTGCGCGTGTGTGTGCATGTGTGTGCGTGTGTGTGTGTGTGCGTGCGTGTGCGTGCGTGCGTGTGTGTGTGTGTGTGCGTGTGTGTGTGTGTGCGTGTGTGTGCGTGTGTGCGCGTGCGTGCGTGTGTGCGTGCATGTGTGCCGCTGCCATCACACAGGAGCTCGCTCCGCTCTGCTCGTGCATATTTCATGAGGCGTCAAGCGCCGCCGGGTACAGCGCTGGTACCGCCACCGCCGCCCCCCTCGCTCCACCACCGGGGGGGGGGGGGGGGCGGTCGTCCAAGCTCTCGCAATTAGTGCGTGCGGTGACATTTCCCGGGCAGAATTACACGGCGCCATCGCCGCGTCAATGGCAGCGGCGGTGGTGGTGGTGGTGGTGGAGGTAAGTGGTGGGGGCCGACCGTGTTCTCACCCATACCGACCCACGAGCCCGGGGCAACCAGAGGTCCCAGGGGACCGTGGGGAACCAGGGGGCCCAGAGAACCCTCCCCCCCCCCCCCGAGACCCAAGGGACCCAGAGACCCAAAAGGACCCAGAGCTCCCAGGGAAACCAGAGACACGGGAGACCCAGAGCCCCCAGGAAACCAAACATCCAGGGGAACCAGAAACTAACGAAAACAATAAACCAGGGGACACAGAGAGGACCCAGAGACCGCAGGGACCCAAGAGTCCTAAAGATCCAGAGGAACCAAAGACCAGTGGACCCAAGAGAACCAGGAGAACCAGAAACCTAAGGGAACCAGAGACCTAAGGAAACGAGAGGAATCAGATAATAGGGGATCCAGAGACAGGGAACCAGAGACCAGGAACCAGAGTCCAGGAACCAGAGACCAGAAACCAGAGACAAGGAACCAGAGACCAGAGTCCAGGAACCAGAGACCAGGAACCAGAAACCAGGAACCAGAGACCAGCAACCAGAGTCCAGGAACCAGAGACCAGGAACCAGAGTCCAGGAACCAGAGACCAGGAACCAGAGACCAGGAACCAGAGACCAGGAACCAGAGTCCAGGAACCAGAGACCAGGAACCAGAGTCCAGGAACCAGAGAACAGGAACCAGAGACCAGAGACCAGAAACCAGAGACAAGGGACCAGAGACCAGAGTCCAGGAACCAGAGACCAGGAACCAGAAACCAGAGACCAGGAACCAGAGACCAGGAACCAGAGACCAGGAACCAGAGACCAGGAACCAAAGACCAGGAACCAAAGACCAGGAACCAGAGACCAGAGACCAGGAACCAGAGACCAGAGACCAGAAACCAGAGACAAGGAACCAGAGACCAGAGTCCAGGAACCAGAGACCAGGAACCAGAAACCAGAGACCAGGAACCAGAGACCAGGAACCAGGAACCAGAGACCAGAAACCAGGAACCAGAGACCAGGAACCAGAGACCAGGAACCAAAGACCAGGAACCAGAGACCAGAGACCAGGAACCAGAGACCATGAACCAGAGACCAGGAACCAGAGACCAGGAACCAGAAACCAGAGACCAGGAACCAGAGACCAGGATCCAAAGACCAGGAACCAGAGACCAGAGACCAGGAACCAGAGACCAGGAACCAGAGACCAGGAACCAGAGACCAGGGGAACCAGAGACCAGGAACCAGAGACCAGGAACCAGAGACCAGAGACCAGAGACCAGGGGAACCAGAGACCAGAGACCAGGAACCAGAGACCAGAGACCAGGAACCAGAGACCAGAGACCAGGAACCAGGAACCAGAGACCAGAGACCAGGAACCAGAGACCAGGAACCAGAGACCAGAGACCAGAGACCAGAGACCAGGAACCAGAGACCAGAGACCAGGAACCAGAGACCAGGAACCAGAGACCAGGAACCAAAAGACCACAGACCAGGAACCAGAGACCTGGAACCAGGAACCAGAGACCAGAGACCACATGGGTGGTTCACCACGTGATTGACTCACCACGTGGTTGACTCACCACGTGGTTGACTATCCCCGTGATTGACTCACCACGTGGTTGACTCACCCCGTGATTGATTCACCACGTGGTTGACTCACCACGGTGTGAGTCAACCACGTGGTTGACTATCCCCGTGGTTGACTATCCCCGTGGTTGATTCAGCCCGTGGGTGACTCACCACGTGGTTGACTCACCACGTGGTTGACTCACCCCGTGATTAACTCACCACGTGGTTGACTCACCAGGTGATTGACTCACCACGTGATTAACTCACCCCCTGGGTGGGTCACCCCGTGGTTGACTATCCCCGTGGTTGACTCACCACGTGGTTGACTCACCACGTGGTTGACTCACCACGTGATTAACTCACCCCGTGGGTGGCTCACTCCGTGGTTGACTATCCCCGTGGTTGACTATCCCCGTGGTTGACTCACCCCGTGGTTGACTATCCTCATGGTTGAATCACCACGTAATTGACTCACCCCGTGGGCGGCTCACCCCGTGGTTGACTATCCCCGTGGTTGACTATCTCCGTGGTTGACTATCCCCATGGTTGTCTCACCCCGTGGTTGACTCACCACGTAGGTTGACTCACCACGTGGTTGACTCACCCCGTGGGTGGCTCACCCCTCGGTTGACTCACCCCGTGGTTGACTCACGCCGTGGTTGACTATCCCCGTGATTGACTATCCCCGTGGTTGACTATCCCCGTGGTTGACTCACCACATGGTTGACTCACCCCTCGGTTGACTCGCCACGTGATTGACTCACCCCGTGGGTGGCTCACCCCGTGGTTGACTATCCCTGTGGGTGGCTCACCCCGTGGTTGACTATCCCCGTGGTTGACTATCCCCGTGGTTGACTATCCCCGTGGTTGAGTCACCACGTGGCTGACTCACCCCGTGGTTGACTCTCCCTGTGGTTGACTATCCCCGTGGTTGACTATCCCCGTGGTTGTCTCACCCCGTGGTTGACTCACCTTGAAGACGGTGGAGCGGAGGGTGCGGGTGGTGGGAAACGCTCGCCCATTGGCGCCGGTGGTGGTGGGCGAGCGTGCCGACCCCGCGTGGTACAGGTGGCACAGCAGACGCACCACGCGGAGCAGCCGGTGCATCTGCGCCTCGTAGCTGCTGGAAAGGCTGAGAGACACGGGGAGACGCGGGGAGACACGGGGAGACACGGGGAGACACGGGAAGACACGGGGAGACACGGGGGGACACGGGGACACACGGGGAGACACGGAGAGACATGGAGACGCACGGGGACACACGGGGAGACACGGGGACACGGGGGAGATACGGGGAGACACGGGGAGACACGGGGACGCACGGAGACGCACGGATACGCACGGAGACGCACGGATACGCACGGGGAGACACGGGGAGACACAGGGAGAGACGGGAGACACGGGGAGACACGGAGACGCACGGAGAGACACGGGGTGACACGGAGAGACACGGATAGACACGGGGAGACACGGGGACAACACGGGGAGATACGGAGACGCACGGGGAGAGACACGGGGAGAGACACGGGGAGACACGGGGAGACGCACGGGGAGACACGGGGGGACACGGGGGGACACGGAGGGACACGGGGAGACACGGGGACAACACGGGGAGACACGGGGAGACACGGGGAGAGACACAGGGGAGACACGGGGAGACACGGGGACACACGGGGACACACGTGGAGACACGGAAAGACGCGGGGAGACACGGGGGACAAGGAGAGACAAGGGGAGACACGGGGAGATACGAGGGGACAACACGGGGAGACACGGGGAGATACGAGGAGACACGAGGAGGACAAGGAGAGACGTAGGGACAGAGAGACGAGACAACATGGTGAGCACGTTTATAGAGAGACAGAAGCAGTGGGCCAAGAAAGGAAGATCTTGAGCCTGGCCTTGAACAGGGGCAGCAGAAGAGAATTAGCGACCTCCTGCAAATGAGCGAAGGGCGACTGGGGGCAAGGCACGGTGGATCCATGGTGGATCCATGGTGGATCTATGGTGGATCCATGGTGGATCTATGGTGGATCCATGGTGGATTCATGGTGGATCTATGGTGGATCCATGGTGGATCCCCGGTGGATCGATGGTGGATCTATGGTGGATCTATGGTGGATCTATGGTGGATCCATGGTGGATCCCCGGTGGATCGATGGTGGATCTATGGTGGATTCATGGTGGATCTATGGTGGATCCATGGTGGATCCCCGGTGGATCCATGGTGGATCTATGGTAGATCTATGGTGGATCTATGGTGGATCCATGGTGGATCCATGGTGGAGCCCGGTGGAGCCCGGTGGACCCCAATGTAGCGGGATGTAGCGGGGTGGAGCGGGGTGGAGTGGGGTGGAGGCAGCAGGGCTGGGTCAGGAAGGAGTGAGGGCTGTGCGGGGGGATTAGCAAGCACCGCGACATTTTCATTTTCCGCTGCAACAGCTTCGTCATATTTCACAGCTGTACAGCCTCACTCAGCCTGTGCGCACGCACACACGCACACACACGCACGCACACACGTGCGCACATGCGCGGGCACGCACACAAAGACATGTAACATGCACACACGCGCACACACGCACACACAAACACGCCAGCTGTATGCGTGTGTGCGACAGGTACGTGACGGGTTGGTGTGTGATGGCTGGGCATGATGTGTTGGATGCGTGATGGGCGAGTGTCCTGATGGGTGGGTGTGTGCGATGAGTTGTGGGGAGTGGTGGGAGCGGTAGTTGGGCGGTTAGCGCACTGCCGCATGAACACGGCAACCCAAATTCGATTCCCGCTCACAGCCAAGACCGGCGTCGGTTATCTGAACCGGTCTTGAGCATCCCCCTAGGATGACTCAGCCCCAAATGAATATGTTGTGCTATGCGCGAGCATCGCCACTTGGGAGACAAAGGTGGTGGGGTGTGGTGCTGGCCACCCACATCCTCATGTGCCGTGCCAGCCCTTCACAGGTGCTGGCTTACAGCACTTTCCCTAAAAGTCTGTGAAGGCTATACGGGGGATCTGTGTTTGATGAGCGGCAGTGCGCAGGATCCGCGTGGATGCGCACGCACGGCTCACCCCGTGGTTGACTCACCCCGTGGGTGACTCTCCCCGTGGTTGACTCACCACGTGGTTGACTCACCCCGTGGTTGAATTACCACGTGATTGACTCACCACGTGATTGACTCACCCCGTGGTTGAATCACCACGTGATTGACTCACCACGTGATTGACTCACCACGTGATTGACTCACCCCGTGGTTGAATCACCACGTGATTGACTCACCACGTGATTGACTCACCCCGTGGTTGAATCACCACGTGATTGACTCACCACGTGGTTGACTCACCCCGTGGTTGAATCACCACGTGATTGACTCACCACGTGATTGACTCACCCCGCCGGCATGGGCGCGCTGCTCGACACCACGCGCCACGACGCATCTAACAAGCATCAGGCGCGTGCCGCGCGTCACACCACAAACTCGCGACGCCGCTTGGTAAACATCGGGGTGGGGGGGGGGGCCTGTGGGAGTGGGGGGGGGGAGGACGAACGTCCGTTATGACTAGATTTGAAGCTTTCGTGACTGCAAGGATTCATATTCTTAGGTTTTGTCGGTAAAGTCACGTGACTTTACCGGAAAAAAACCTAAGTCCGTTATGACCTTCGAAACACGGCGCGAACTCCACACAGATGGATTGCTGCACGGTCCTGGCCCCGGTGGCAGTGAGCGGCGGCGTTTAAAGTTGGGGGATGAAAGCCGCGTCCTCTGGATCGTTCCCCAAGGGACGGCCTCATCTCTCGCTCATGAATTATCTCGCTGCGTACCCGCTCCCGTGACAAAGGGGCTCCCGTCGGAGGCGAGGGGGGGAGGGAGGGAGGGAGGGGGGGGTGGAACGACCCAGAAAAATATATACACGGGAAATAATGAAATATATGAAATCAATTTGCTCTCAGAGTTGGGGGTGGGGCGCTGGGGGGCTGGGGGGGAACTGGATAGGTGTGGAGACACGGAGGGAGACACGGAGGGAGACGTGGAGCCACCGCGTGGATCGGGAATCTCCATCATCATCAGCGGGAACGTCAGTCACGATCTGTCCGCTGCTGGATGAAAGCCTCCCCAGTGGGTGTTATAGTCAGATTCATTTCTGGTAGGAATCCCCTTCGCGTACAACCCCCCCCCCCCCTCCATGCTCCCACCGGTGCCCTCTCCCGGAGGCTGGACTCGCATCGCGAGACACGACGCTCTGGGCGTGACACCGGCAACTCACGCCGCGTGTGTATACGTGTGCATGTACGTGTGTGTGTATACGTGTGTATACGTGTGTGTACACGTGTGTGTGTGTATACGTGTGTGTCTACGTGTGTGTGTATACGTGTGTGTACGTGTGTGTGTATACGTGTGTATACGTGATGGTACACGTGTGTGTATACGTGTGTGTGTATACGTGTATACGTGTGTGTATACGTGTGTGTGTACGTGTGTATACGTGTGTGTATACGTGTGTGTATACGTGTGTGTGTACGTGTGTATACGCGTGTGTGTACGCGTGTGTATACGCGTGTGTGTATATACGCGTGTGTATACGTGTGTATGTACGTGTGTGTGTATACGTGTGTATACGTGTGTGTGTATACGTGTGTGTATACGTGTCTGTATACGTGTGTATACGCGTGTGTATACGTGTGTATACGTGTGTGTACGTGTGTATACGCGTGTGCATACGCGTGTGCATACGCGTGTGTATACGTGTGTATACGCGTGTGTACGTGTGTATACGTGTGTGTACGCGTGTGTATACGCGTGCGCCTTGAACCTCGTTCGCACCGTACGTGGCCAACAGCGCTAACCGGAGGGCGGGCGAGGCGGGAGTGAGGGGATGGACAGAGGGAGAGAGGGATGACAGGTGTTGTTAGTTCCAGTGGCTAGTTGGTGAGGGTGGAGGGCTCGACGCCAGGGGCTGGTTGGACGGATGCAGGTCGAGGAGGGAGGCAGGAAGCGTTGGAGGAAGAGACGGGGTGGAGAAGGGAGGGGTCACCACCCCCCCCCAGTCCCCCGCCCCCCCAGCCCCCCAGCCCCCCGCCCCCCACACGGAATGAGCCGTCACCGGGTGATGCCCAAATTGCGTCACTCACGCGCCCACGGCTCCGGGAAATTTTAATAAAGAGGGGAGGGGCACGGGTGGGGTCGGGGCATCTTCTCCCACTACTGCACGCCCCCCCCCCGCCCCACACGCCCCCCCCCCCCACCCCCCATCACATCGATTTATTGTCATCGAGTCCCAAATCGGTCGGGGGGGGTGCTGTGTTCGTATCGCCTCGTGTGTCCCGTCTCACGCGTCTGGTCCGTCTCCTCTGCGTTGTCAGCACGGGCATCGAGCGTTGTCCCCTCGCACAAGGCGTGGGTCTTCTGCGGTTTCCTCCTCCCGCCGGTATAATAAATACACTCATCGTGACTTGGCTGCGAACGTTAAAAATAAAAAACCCAAATCATCAGCAGGACCCTCCTGAAAGAGAGCCACTGGCATCAGGGTAGCTTTCCTGGGTGAATGAATAATAATGATTTATCGTCTTGGTTCTTTCGGTAAAGTCACGTAGAAGGGAATTAATAAAATAATAAAAATAAAACATAATACAATAATTCTCACGACGTTTCGGCCACAACGCAAGCGTCTGAATTATGTTTTATTTTTTATTATTTTATTACTTCCCTTCTACGTGACTTTACCGAAAGAATCAAGAAGATGAATCCCTGCAGTCACGAAAGCTTTAAATCGGGAAATAATGAATTAATTGGCTAACCTGTCGCTCACCCTTCCCCCACCGCCCCTCCAGACCACTTCACTCACCCCCCCCACCCCGCCCCCCCCCCCCCCACCTTTTCTGTGTCTCCACACAGACAGAACGACACCCGCCATCCCATGAGACTCTACGGCCCAAATATTACCCACGGGCAGTTCGTTGAAGCGAGCAAAGTGTGCACCAGAGGTCGCAACCGGGTACCCGATACCCGTACCCTACCCGATACCCGGCTACCCGTACCCGGCCGGGTACGGGTACGGGTAGCCGTTTGCGACCCTGGTGCGGCCGGGTACGGGTAGGCCGTGAGTCACTGGTGAGTAACCGTTTGTCACTCATTTCTGGTAGGGTACGGGTTCAGGTAGGGAACGACCCTGGTGCGGCCGGGTACAGGTACCGGTAAGGAATCAAAACCCGTTTGCGACCTCTGGTGTGCACCCGGCTTAGACTTGCCGCCAGCGAGGGGTCAGGGGTCAGGGGTCAGGCTCGTGAGACAAACGCCGCCGGTTGTGTGGGTTGGCGAGGGCACTCGGCGCAGCGCCCTGGCGCCTCCGTCGCTTCCCGGGGTGCTGCGCTCCAACACGGAGCTCACTCCACTCGCCCCACACACGAGCCCAGTGGGGGGGGGCCCTTGGGCGCACTCAGCCCGGGGATTGGAGGGAGGCGGTATGTGGATTGGTGGGGGGGGGGGGATTGGAGGGAGATTGGAGAGGAGGCGTAGATGAGGGGGGATTGGAGGGGGGCAGTGTATGGATTGGTGGGGGGGGAGGGCATAGATTGGGGGGGGGGGGGTTGGAGGGGGGTGGTTTGGGGGGGGGCGTGGATTGGAGGGGGGATAGGAGAGGCGTAGATGAGGGGGGATTGGAGGGGGGCAGTGTATGGATTTGGTGGAGGGGTGGATGTGGGGGCCGTGGATTGGGGCGGCGTGAGGGAGGAGGGAGAGTATGTGAGCAACTCCCTTAACCTCCGAGTGTCGGCACCGACTCACTCGCACACAGAGACAAAGATTCCTCGCGCAGCCCAAACAAGCGGTTCCGGCTAGTGCTGCTAACGAGCGGCATCTGTTAAGGCCTGCACCACGCCCCGGCCGCCTTTGTCCCCCCAATGCTCATGTTTACACAACTCGCCAGGTACTCATTTAAGGCTGAGTCGACCTAACGGAGGCCCGGCATCGGCCACACCACCCCTTCATTCGGTGAGCTCCTCTGGCAGACGAAGCCGCGTTCGCTGGGTCATGTAGCCAGTCACCGCATGCCCAGCCACTGCATGCCCAAGCAGCTTCCGTTTGGCCGGATCGAGGGGGCTAAATGCGCGCGGCACAGGCTGGAGAAGAGATGACTGGTACCAGCGGTGTCAAGATCGGCCTGTGTGGAGGAGGCTCGTAAAGGACGCTGCTACTGGGCAGTTGGAGGCAGTCTCCCTCCAACAGCAGCGGAGGGCAGAGAAGCGACGCTCACAACAACGAGCAGAGCGCCGGGCGGCGAAAGCGCAGGGAGTTGCCACAGTGGAGGGCACAGCTGGTGCCCCTGCCAGCCATCTCAGTCAACCCATGGCACCTGGCTTCTGTCCCGTGACCTGCCAACGGCCTCAAAGCGCACCTAGGCTGGCACAAGCGCCGTGATGACGTCACTGCCACTTAGTGGCAGTGACGTCACCGAATGGCTCACAGGGCTATAGCAAATAAATGAAACTGAAATGAAAATAAAATGTGTATCAATACGTGCACGTCTATGTGTATGTATATGTGTCTATGTGTATATGTCTTGTGTTTATCTGTATGTGTATCTGTGTGTGTGTATATCTTTGTGTGTGTGTATATTGGTGTGTCCTGCTCACGGCCGAGTTCAGTGACGATTATTTGACTCGATCCTGGGCCACCCCTAGGTCGACTCAACCTCGAATGAGTACCTGCTGCGGTGTGTAAACATCGCCACGTGGAAGAAAACGACAGCAGGGCGTGCTGCTGGCCACCCACCCACCTCCTCGTGTGCCGTGCCGGCCTTCATAGGCGCTCGATAACAGCACTTGCCCCAACAGTCTGTTACGGCTATGGGGCGATCTTTGTCTTTTCGTTTGCATATCTAAGTGTGTGTGTATCTCTGTGTGTGTATGTATGCGTAGTGCAGTGACTTCGGAGACGAGGTTTGTAGAGGCACCTTCTTTAATTAACACTCGCGATCTCACCTGCCCACACTCTGTAGAGTCGCGAGCCTATGACACAACACGAGCCGTCTAACATCGACGGCGCTGACGGAGACAGCTAACAGCCTCTCTAGCGGCGCAGTGTCGAGCAAAGACAGCGACGATGGCGACGAGACGATCCAATTCCCAAAACCGGCAGCCTCGAGCTCCCACTCTCGGCTCCTTTAATGCTCCCAGCGCGGCCTGGCTCCGCCCTGGCCACGCCTCCCTCCTGGAACCCACGAGCAGGTTCCAGGGGCTTCCAGACGGGGCCCCACGTGACCCTTGCCCCAGTTCCTCCGCCCTGCCGACACACAGCCGCGTACACGCTCACCGGCGTGTGTACTGTGTGTAGGCCGCAGTTGCCGCTGATGGTCAACAGCCGGCGCTATTACACTACACATGCATCAGAAACAGTTTTCCGTGCTTGTGTGGTAACTAATTGAAGGTGGAGGGGTTAGCAGCCCCTCGCACCCGTCCAGAGCCCCCTTTGGCCGCTGTGGTGGCTACAAACGCCATGAGGGGAATGGCCAATTGTCATGGGTCCTCCCCCCATGGCACTGCTCACCACAGCGTTACCATCCAGCACCAGCGAAGAGGTAGGGGGTTGTTATGGCCTCAACGTGCTCATAGCCTGGCACAAACGCCGTGGTGACGTCACCGCCACTTAGTGGTGAATGGCGGTTGTTGTTGTATCTGTGTGTATGTGTGTGTGTGCATCCGTGTCTGTATCTGTGTATGTGTATCTGTATCTGTGTATGTGTATCTGTGTATGTGTATATGTGTATGTGTATCTGTGTATGTGTATCTGTGTGTGTATCTATGCCCGGTGCCTTTCCTGGTCTCAGACTCCGGATCGTCTTCAGTACTTCCTCAACAGATGGCACCTCAGCCAGCTGCATCTCTGCTTTATTGACCTGGTCAAGGCCTATGATACCATCAGTAGGCCTGGGTTCTGGGTTGTTCTTCGTGCTTTCGGAGTCCCTGACCCTCTGCTCACCATCATTAAGAACCTTCATGATGGTGAGCGGGCCCAGGTAAAACTAAGTGGCCGGGAGTCGGAGCCATTCCCTGTACACCTTGGGGTGCGACAGGGATGTCCTCTGGCTCCCACATTATTTAACATCTATTTCGACCACGCAGTTCGTGAAGCCTTTAATAGCTGTACCGGAGGAATTTCAAACTGGTACAGATACAGAAGCTGATCGATGCCTGGGTGTGGTCAAGGGATGGCTGCCTATTTCTCAACCATGTTATGTATGCCGATGATCTGGTAATTTCTGCTCGCTTAGAGGAGGAGTTGGAGGCGCTGCTGCTGAACCTGCAGCTTGCCACTAAGAGGTGGGGACTTACCATCAGCCCCACCAAAACTAAGCACCTGCCTGGGTATTTTGTACCATCGGACACTCCACCCCCACAACTCCCAATTGGTGATAGGGCAGTTGTGGAGAGTGGAGAGTTTCCCATACCTGGGCAGTGTGCTCATGACCGGCTCCGGTTTAACAGCAGAGGTCTCACTTCGAATCAGTAGAGCGGCATTATCTTTTCATCGGTTGCTTAACGCTGTGTGGAAGCTACCTGGTCTGTCGCTCCGCATGAAGCTTCAGGTCTTCTCGGCCACGGTCATTCCCTCCCTTCTCTACGCTTGCGAAACGTGGACCCCTCTAATGGAACATCTTCGTCAGTTAGAAACATTTAGGCTGGCCTGCCTACGATCCATCCTGGGTTTAACCAGGCTGGATTGTGTGAGGAGCTCACAAATCCTTGAAAAATCTGGA